ATACATTCAATGATCAAGTCCAAGCTTTGTTACTTTCCTAACTTTGTTTCCCTTATGGAAAGTACTCACCCATTCTCTCTTTCCTCTCTATACAATGGGGATAATAATAGTCCTTACTTTGTGGGTGGCCATGATGATTAAATGGGATTGTATATGCAAAGTCCCAAGAAGATACCTGGTATATACATTGAGTAATATGTTAAGAAAGCATGAATAGAACTTCCAAGAAATATGGGATAACATGAAAAGACCAAATTTAAGATTCATTTGGATAGATGAAGGCTCAGAGATAGAAACCAAAGGAATGCCCAAACTTTTCAATGAAATAATATCAACAAACTTCCCAAAACCTAAAGAGTAAAACAGAGAATCAAATATATCCCTTGCTTTTTCATGTTTTTACAGCTTTTTCTCTTGGGCTAATGAAGTTGTTGTTAGTAATACAGATTTTCTTCCTCGCTTGTCCCAGTATCTGTGATGATGCTTCTTCTATAGGTGCTGGGGCTCTAGGAGACAGTGGCTGAGCTACCCCTGGAATAAACCCATGTCTTTGTGTGGGTGATGGCAGGGCTGAGAGATTTGGGATTCAGCTTTGTTTTCTTGAGGGATCTATTTAATCTGTTGTTTAGTGGGACTTGAGATCCCTTTGGTTTTTGGGGGACTGGCTTATTTCACTTAGCACAATATTCTCCAGTTTCATCCATCTCCTGGTAAATGTTATAATTTCACTCTTCTTTATGGCTGAGCAATATTCCATTGTGTATATATATCACATTTTCTTTATCCATTCATCTATGTAAGGGCACCTAGGTTGGTTCCATAGTTTAGCTATTGTGAATTGAGCTGTTGTAAACATTGATGTGGCTACATCACTGTAGTATGCTGATTTTAAGTTCTTTGGATATAAACCAAGGAGTGGTATAACTGGGTCAAATGGTGGTTCCATTCCAAGTTTTATGAGGAATATCCATACTGCTTTCCATAGTGGTTGTAACAATTTGCAGTCCCACTAGCAATGTACCTTTTTTCTCCTACATTCTTGCCAACATTTATTGTTACTTGTATTCTTGATAATTGCCATTCTGACTGGATAGTTCCTTTTGACACTTAGTTTTTCAGGTCCTACCATGGTGATGGACAAAGGCAATAAAACTGAGATGAAAAAGCTAGGTTTTCATAATCATAGACCAGATGCTTAACTCTGAATATTGATCCTATGAGGCAGAAACTTTGAAGTCAGAGAATTTGGTGCTAAAAAAGATCTGGGGAGTGATCCATAAATAAGGAAATGGGCCCAAAGAGGTTAAAGGACTTAGCCACAGAAGCTATTTAAAATGAGTATGCAGTGTGAGAGTTCTGATGATGACCTCTGGTTTTTCAGCTTAGTGAGCTCTGGAGATAGGCTACTTTGATTCAATTCTTGTTTCTACCAGTTTTTGGCAGTATGATCTTCAGCTCCTTGTGGATTCCTCTCCCCCTAAATTTTCTTACTTGAAAAATGGAAATAATAATAATATAGATTTTGTGTGGATTAAATATGTACATAGCACTTAGTCCTGGGCATATAAGATCATTCAGTAAATGTTTGTTATTATTACTATTCTTCCAAAGAACTTTAGGAATCTCAACTCTTAACCAAGGCAGAATAAATGTTTTGACCAGGCTGGTGTTTAAAAGTAGTTTCTCTCACTAAAAAATATGATGTTTTATTTCTTCTTAGTTTCTGATTTGGAAGTGTTCCTTATGACTGATCTGCAAATTAACAACCATAGTCTTCTCTGGAATCACTATGTGACTTTTAGATGCAAGGAAGGGGTTAAAATTATTCTTCATTATCTATAGTTTTCTGTTCACAGTCAGCAAATACTTAACGAGCAATCTGCTGTGTGCCTGGTACAGAGATAGTGGCCTGCATGCATGGGGGAATCTTTGATGTGTCCCCTTATCTTCATGGTGTACTCAGGATGGTGGGGCAATTAGAAGTTAGATAAATAATGTTCCTATAGTGGGGAGGGATCATTTGCAATGGAGAAGAGAGAAATATTTTACAGCACATGGAAGGAGCCCTGAACTTGATTTAAGGGATTAAGGAAGGATATTCTGGAAAGAAGTCAATCTAGGCTGATATCTAGGCTGATGTGTCAAGTTATGTTCTTAACCAGTCTGGATGGAAGCCCAGAGAAAAGTATCCCAGGCATAGGGGACAGCATGTTAATTGCAAGGTGGGTGCTCAGGCTTGGGACAAAACTGGGTTTTCACTATTATTATTACCACCACCACCACTACTACTACTACTACTACTACTACTACTACGTATTGAACTTAGGGGCACTCGGCCACTGAGCCACATCCTCAGCCCTATTTTGTATTTTATTTAGAGACAGGATCTCAGTGAGTTGCTTAGCACCTCGCTTTTGCTGAGGCTGGCTTTAACTCATGATCATCCTATCTCAGCCTCCCCTGCCATTGGGATTACAGGCGTGTGCCACAGCACCCGGCTCACCCATTTATTTAATATTTAACAAGTGTTTACTAAGCACTTACTCTGCAGCAGGTATTTTTTTATATAATGGGGAGACATCAGTTAACAAAACAGATAATAGCTTTTATTTTCAAGGAAGTACTGTTATGAGGAGAACTAGGTGAGGGAGGATGGCCAGGAAGCCTCTAGGATGGAGTGACAGTCAAGCTAAGACTGGAATGTGAAGGAGCCATCTGGGGGAGGCAGAGGGAACATCAAAGTTAAGGTAAAGGACATCTGCAAGAGGCAAGAGTGCCAATGTAGGTGAAGTGTACAAATAATTCAAAAGGCATTTCATTAGCATGGCCAGGATCAAAAGGAAAAAATGACAAGAAAAAGAAATCCGAATACACTGTTGTTGGGGATATAGATTGGTGCAGCCACTGGGGAAAACAGTGGGCAGATTATTAAAGAAGTTAAAACCAGAACTACCATATGACCTAACAGTCCCTCTTCTGAGAGCTTCCCAGAAGAGACAAAATTACCATCTTGTAAGGATATCTGCATTGCCATGTTCATTGAACATTATCCATGGTAGCCAAGATATGGAAACGGCCTGGGTCTATAGGTGGGTGGAATGAATAAATTAAATATATATACACAAATACATATGGCATGTATGTATATATATGTATACACCTGTACACACACACACACACACATATGTATATACCTGTACACACACACACACACACACACACACACATACACACAGAATATTATTCAGCCTTAAAAACAAGATCCTGCCATTTGTTACAACATGAATGGATGCAGAAGACATCATGCTAAGCCAATAAGCCAGGAACAGAAAGAAAAGTATCGAAAAATCTTATATATATGTAAAAGCATTTTGAAAGCATTTTTTCATTAGCTAACATAGCTGCTTTTCTGAGAGTTGTGACAACCACCTAACCCCTATCTTCCTGGAATTAGCTAAAACTTGTCTCTGGTCACAATTGGTAGTTGTGAACTTTTTTGAAGATAGTGATAGAAAAGGTAAATTTTTCTCTACTGGAGAAAGGAAAAATTCCACCACACTGAATAAATTACCTGTAAATTTTTAAAAATCAGCAAGATTTTCATAGGCATAGCTGCAGACTAAATTTTAGGTCATCAAATGCCATGGCAACATTAATGTAGTTTTTATTGCTTGACTTTTTTTCTTTTTTGTTTTTACATCAGTGGATTTATTTCAATGATAAGAAATGAATAGATTTATTTTAATGATAAGAAATGAAAATATGAAACATGTATTCCAGAGAGGGTTTGTTTTTTTTCTTTGCTTGTTGTCTATATATTTAGTCATTTTATTATACCATAAACATGTTTTCTAAGATCAAGTTTAATTGTACACAAACATTTCCACACTAAAAAAAGTGCTTTCAAAAGTGTTGAGCAGTGGGATTATAGATCCAATTCCAAGTAAAATCTGAACCACGAGTGAGCCATATACTAGGTAGATTGTCTCATGTTTCATCTTAAGTGAGATCATTCTAGACTCAGTATATATGAAACCTTTTTTATTATATATGAAACCTTTTTTTTAAAAAAAAAGTCAAATTCAAAGAAACTGAGAATTAAACAATGGTTCCCAAGGATAGGGCGGGGCAGGGATGGGGAGATGTAGATCAAAGGATTCAAAGTAGCAGATGTGTAAGAATACACAGTCTGTAGATCTGATGTACACCACAAATACTCTAGTTAACAAAGCTGTATTAGAGATTTTTGTTAAATAAGTAGATTTTTAACTCCTCTGTCACACACAAAAAGTGTCTATGTGAGATGATATGTTAATTCACTTCAATATCACACCATTTTACTCTCTATATGTATTCTGCATCATGTGAATCTCAAATATATCCATTGAAATTTATTTCTTAAAAATTCAAAGAATTGTAATGTATCCTACTGTCATATATAACAAATTAAAATTTTAAAAAAATCTGAAATTGGGTTGGGTTGTTGATGCTGAGAAAGATTTAGAACATGGATAGTATAAATGAGTTAAAATAGACACAATGATTCTCTTTTCAAAACTTAGAAGCTATTGGAAAATTTTAGTTGCAAGTATCTCTTCTCTGAAGTGGAACTTGGCTCTGTGTGTTTTAATAACTGGGATAATATGAAGAATGTATTTCCCACAACACTGCACATCAGGCAGATGCACTTGTACAGGTCCTCTTCCTAGCTGTGGATACCTGTAAGCAACAAAACCAATCAGCAGGGCTGCCCGGCTCAACCCCATGGCTCGTGATGTTGCCTACAGGTATCCCAGTGGCTTCTCCTGGGTTCTAGCCATCTCTTTTTCATCCCTTTGGATTCAATTTTCTGTTTCAGAAGTGCTTCCGATCCTTCCTATGCAGTTTGAATCTGCTTGATCCACATTAGCTGTCTACACTCTTCTCCAGGTTCCCAGACTGTTTCTCTCTCTGTTGGATCACAGAGGCCACACAGACTCATGTCTCTTGTTTGCTCCCAGTTGACAGTATTGGGGATGATGAAGAGCCATCCACATCTTCTGACAGTGATGAGGACGTGATCAAACAATTTGAGATTTCTGTGTCCCGGTCCCAGAGTTTCCGTTCAAGAGCTTCTGAGAAAGGAGAACCTAAGGAATTGGAACAGAAACCCAAGTGTGGCCGTTTGCTCCCTACCCATGAAGAAGATGGCGCCCGAGTGTCTGCCTGCAAAGGTATCCTTTGCATCCTGTTTTTCCTTTATTTAGACCAGCAATGGCCAATGATAATATTTTTGAGTCATTTAAATATTATATTCTGTGTCTAAGAATCCAGAGAGGAAAAGAAAATGAAAAGGAAGCCAAAAGAACAAGGTGATATTTCTTAGTGCTTCCCTGAGCAAAGGTGAGGCATCTTTCTGATATTCTTATGCCCAGAGCCCCACTGGGACAGGAAGTATATTTAGTAAATATCTAGAGAGACCTTCACAGCATGCACCTTCTTGGTCTGGTCTCAGTGATTCGAGTTCTTTTCTTTCTTTCTTTTTGGGCGTGTGGTCAGTGAAACCAATGGGCACATCATAGTACACCTTCCTCATTTTCGTACTAGATGGAGAAAATGGAGATCATAGAAATTGAGAGAAGATGAAAGAGAAGAAATTTTGATTTGGCAGTGAAGACAGGACAGGCAACGAACAAGGTGGGGGAGGGAAAGCTAGAAGTAACAAATAGAACCATGTTATTTTTCAGCAGGAAAAACTTGCTGCCTATCATGTAGTTTCACTTACTGACAAATACCGACTGACATTTCATCGCTATTCTTTTTAGTTCAAGGTAAGCTAATAAATATAGGCCTGATATGGCCAAACCACAATATGAATGGCTGCTGACCTCTGTCATTTCCTCACCATCCCTCCCCCCCCGCCACACCTTATTTTTTCTCTTTCTCTTCTGTTACATCAGAGCATTCCTTTTTCTCTGTGGAGAGGGCAAATGTTAGCTAATGAAAGTTAATAGCTGTTGGTTCCCTGGGAGTCGCTTGTTTAATTCTACAGCTAATGGCTCCATTTCCCAGAAGCCCAAGTGTCTGGGTTCTGATTTACACACATGGCCAATGTTCTGAGAGTTGTGACAACCACCTAACCCCTATCTTCCTGGAATTAGCAAAAACCTGTCTCTGGTCTCAATTGGTAGTTGTGAACATTTTTTGAAGATAGTGATAGAAAAAGTAAATTTTTGTCTACTGGAGAAAGGAAAAATTCCACCACACTGAATAAATTACCTGTAAATTTTGAGGAAAATCAGCAGGATTTTCATAGGCATAGCTGCAGACCAAAGTTTAGGTCATCAAATGCCGTGGAAACATTAATGTAGTTTTTATTGCTTGACTTTTTTTCTTGTTCGTTTGTATATCAGTGGATTTATTTCAATGATAAGAAATGAAAATACAAAACATGCGTTCCAGAGAGAATTTGCTTTTTTTCTTTGCTTGTTGTCTATATATTTAGCCATTTTATTCTACCATAAACATGTTTTCTAAGATCAGGTTTAATTGTACACAAACATTTCCACACTAAAAAAAATGCTTTCAAAAGTGTTGGGCAGTGAGATTATAGGTTCAGTTCCAAGTAAAATCTGAACCATGAGTGAGCCATATACTAGGTAGATTGTCTCATGTTTCATCTTAAGTGAGATCATTCTAGACTCAGTAGTGAGGTTATTAGCACCACACTCCAGGCAAGTTCTCTCTTTTTCTCTGCATCTGATTTAGTGTTTTTGCACATGGCTTGTCAGTACATTCCTGATTATGCCAAGATGGGTTTGGTCTAAGTGGTTTGATTCAGAGGCCGAGTGTGAGGACTTTAGGCATGAAAGGTGGGCTGTAGGATAATAGTCCAATTACTGTTTTTTTTTTTAAAATTCTGAGAATGTTTCATAAAAAGCTAGATAATATCTTTCTGGTTTCATCAAACTCAGCACATTTATTCCTGGAATCTCATTTTTGATTGGGATGATGTTATCAATCATGGTCCAACCAGAGAAATAAAACCAGTGGGAATAAATACACCCTATATGCATACACGTGTGTCTGTGTGGGTGGGTGTGTATATTTCAAGAGAATTATTACCAAGACTTGGCTTATGTGATTATGGGGGCTAGCTAGGTGACAGAAATACATAGCTCCAAAATGCAAAGGGCAAGCTGTCAAGAAGGGAGGCTCAGACTCTCAGGTGAGATGAAGCTGCAGTTCTTAGAATTTCTGCTTCAGGGATGTTGCAGATATCCTACTGTTTTTCAACTGACCAGTTATAAATGATGTTGTAGTTATCTTACTGTTTTTCAACTGGCTGATCTCCTGATTTAATTACACCTACAAAATTCCTTCCCATCAATACTTGGACTGGTGTTTGATTGAACCATTGGCCCCTATTGCCTTGCTAAGATGGCACATAGACCTGACCACCACAGATGGTAAGCAGAGTTTTCACACATGGATGATGATGGGCATACCAGAGAAAGCAATTGCAAAATAGGGTTTTATTCCATCAAAATGGGTTATAAACTAGACAAGTTGAAAAATATTCTGGTCAAACAAATAGAATTGGTGTGACATAATTATGTCCTAAAATTTCTAGGAAACCAGGATACATTTCTCTGACAACAATGTAATTACTTTTTAATTTCAAGGAAGGGAAGTCTGCTTTATGGAAAGATGAATCACATTTCCCTTTCCACCTCCTTGCAACTTGACATGAGCCCAGATTTGGTTTTCTAATTCATTTCTTGCTTGTCTGCCATAGAAAATGGTTTGTGACATTAATATAATTCTCCTGTGTTTTTTTTCAATTATGAATAATGTTTCAAGGCTTTAATGTAGCTGCTGAAAATTCTCTCATTAGCGATCTAGGTATTATCACTATAGGAGTTAGAGTCATGAGACAATTTTATGGGAGTAATTTCTTGGCAAAGTTAGATTTTGTGCTGATATCCTGCTGGGCGCTACACATATTGATAGATGACCCACTGTTTAATATGACATTTTACTGTTCGTGTATGTGAGGAATGGGTGTGCTAATTAGAGACTTAGAAGAAAATTCTGAGCTTTATGTTGTAGGTTTTTTTTTTTTTTTTTTTTTTGCATGTGGAATTTCCCTTGCTATGTCATTATTTGTGACCTTTTAAAAGTGTGTTTGCCAAATAGCTGAAAGTGTGAATGTAGCATTTTTGCAGTGCCCTATGGAAATGTTTCCAAGGGCCTGAACTGAACAATTAAGAATAACTAGGCAGATAAGGAAAATTCTCAATGGCCTGCTATGGTTTTGCAAAAACCCAAATCAGTAGTCTGAGGTTGTACCCTAAGGCCCACCACTGTCTGAGGATAATTTTATGTGGTCTGCATAGGGCAACATTATATCCTGTAAGTTTGGTTTCTTAGTATATATGAGTCATATACCTTTCTGTCACTGACTTTCCATGTTGCTACACATCTGGCTGCTTCAAATATTTGTTTCCTGCCTAGACTTCAGAGTTATTCAAAGGCTTAATGAGAACCTAATAAGGACCATGCAGTAAAGTGTATGGCTTTGTACCTTTAAGGAGCTTCTATTCCACCTCAGGTTGTAAGGCTAAGACGGGAAACAAGTGCTGTTATGCAGTGTGGGTGTAAGATTTGAGTCTGTGAGTCTACTCTGATGTCCCACTCACTGTCCTGTCTGTATCTCTAATATGTTCTCATCCTGGGAACAGGACTACTGGAAGGGACTAGAGACCAAAGAGATAAGATATCTTAGCTACTTGTGTGTACATGTGTGTAAACCAGGGTAAAATCTGTCACTTAGGCAGACTGTCAGTTTTTCTTTACCATCTGAGGGCATCTTAGATGTTGAGGGTGAGGAATGGGATGAATAAGGCTTGGAGAAGGTGCAGGGAGAGTGTAGGAGAGAAGGAGAGAGGGGAGAGGGAAAGTGAGACACTAAGGTCAGAACAACACTGAGTTTGACGCAGTCAGGATAGTTCAGGAGTTGGTTGGGACCTTGTATGGACAAGCAGGAAAGGACAGGAAGGAGGGTTTGAGGATCCCAGTTGAAACTGAGTTAGACGAAGCCCATTGGGGACAGTCAGATAAGAAAGGGCCTGTTGGCTGTCAGACAGATAGTTTCATGTGTCTACAGTGACCCTCTGATGGGTTTTATCTTTTTTTTTTTAAACATAAGGAAATAAAAGTTCCGAGAGTTTGAATGTTGTTCGAGTTCTTAAGGCAGAGACAGAACTTAGATCCAGATTGTCAGAATCCAAGGCCAGTGTTCTTTCTACGGGTCATGCAAAGAACTTTCTCCTGAGAAAACTACAGAAACCTCTAGTGAATATGGGAGAGAGAAAGAACAATGGTAGAGTCATGATCTCCATGATCTTGACCCCATGATCTAACATGATCTCCACATTAGATTACTATTTTTGCTTTCTGGAGCCATTCTTGAAGTTTTTTAGTCCCAACAAAATGCTTGTGTTAAATTTATCCTTTTAATATAAATATCATTGTGTGTGCATGTGTGTATGTGAGAGTGTGTGTGTGTGTGTGTGTGTGTGTGTGTGTGTTACTAGGGATTGAACACAGGGGCACTTTACCACTGAGCTATACCCCCAGCCATTTTTATTTTTATTATGAGACAGGGCCTCATTAGGTTGCCTAGACTGGCCTTGAATGTGATCCTTCTGCTCAGCCCCTGTAGTAGTAGTTGGGATTACAGGTGGGTGCAACTGCAACTAGCTAAATACCCATTCTTGATACTCATATTATTGGGAAGTATCAAACCTACTTGAACCTCATGGAAAGACCTAATGGTCTTTTTTATTATATGGATCAGATTTATCCACTGCATAGGTAGAATTTTTTCTGCAGATGTTACTGGTGTGCATATTGTTTTTGTGGTCTTGATTATTGTGGTTGCAATGGCTTAATTTCTCTAGGTATGGAAAACAATGCATTTGAAATACTTTTCTCTCTGAAAATTTAGATTTGGATAGAACCAGCCAACTGAGTTATTCTGAGATCCTGTCTTACAAAGATCATGCCATCTCTGTTACCTCACGGTCCCCAAGTGAGCGAGGAGACAACAGACATCATGGCACCTCTCACCAAGAGACCAGTGGGGTTCGAAGCCTCAGTCGTCAGTCCACAGAGGGCAGCTTGGAGATGGAAACAGATTTTAATAACCGGGGATTTGAAGATTCTTATGCTACTGACAGCTCCTCAGTATGGAGTCCAGAGGTGAGTTATTTGTTTTCCATTCTTTGCTTTATCTATCAGTGTATATTTTTTGGGCTCCTCTCCCCATCTCTTTCTTCTTCCATTTTCTTCTCCTTACTCTCCTTTCACCAAGTTTTTTCCAGAAAGAAAACTTTGCCTTGAAAAACAAAGACCTAAAATACCCATTTTTTTAAAAATAAATTTTTCTTTAGATAACCAAAGTCCCTGAGCACAAGAATAAAAGAATCACAAGTAAATTTGTTTCAAATGCAAAGAAAAGAATGCAAGATAAAAAAGGAAGAAGAATAGTGATAAAATGACCCCTTACAGGACTTATTTTTATACAAAGAAAACTTTTAGTTCTTTGGAGAGGTTGGTTTATTTCCTTCCTGGTTGCATATCCAAAATCTTTAGTTGTGATCATTTGAAATGGAAATTGAGAATTTCACTAAAATGAAGTAGGCCTCCAAATAAAATTATGCATGATATTACGATGAGGGTCTTGCTGCATGTGTTAGTATATTCGTTAGCTTTTAATTGAATTGGAGGTCTAGGAGATGACAGTCGTCTATAATGACCCTCTAGCCTTTGAATAAATCTCTGATGAAAGATGCTTCTTCTGAATTTCTTTTTCAATTAAATCTGGTCCCTAATATGCCTAACCATCTAGAGATATGACCAGAGGGGATGATGGGAATAGCTGCCATTTATTGAAATGCCAGTTAGTACACCCTAGTAAGAAGAATTTTACAAACATTGTTTTATCTTTCATACATTACCAGTCATTCTTCATTAGCTAGATCCCCTCCAATCCTAATTCCATGACACTGGAAGGTATTAAATAGTAGTTTTTAGTACCTAATATGGAATTGATTTTGATGAAATAGGTCGTATAAGTATATAAAACATGAAGCTGTGAAGATAGAGGAAGAGAAGGGTGAATGGATTTTATTAGTTTCAGTCTGAGAATCCTGAGATTCAGGATGAATCTCTTATTAGTACAGAAACGCACACACACACATACTCACTCTGAATGCTCAAGGAAACACAAAAGAAAATCATGTTCCAAAATCGTACTGCAGATATGCTGGGGAGTGTAGGGAGCACGTAAGGAGGGGTGTGCGAGGGTGTGTGTGCACATGCCTCTGTACCTCTGTGTTGGCGTTTCTGCCAAGGACCAGGAGTGGTATCTCAGATGTATGGTTTGTACAGCTTATTAAAAACTTGCTATAGAAGTATTCAAGGCATTGACCTCATCAGCTTTGTTAAAAAGAAGAAAGAAAGAGTCAGATCAAATCCCACATAGTAACATTTAAAGATATTCATTTTGGCTCCCTCACCACAAAAACAAAACAGAGCTCTTCACCTGCCTGTTTGTACTCTGCTTGGTAACTGTGCCATCAGGCTGGTAATCGCTTCTCCATGGAACCTCTTGCTGACCTGCCCTGGGGAGCCTGAAGAGAAGATGTGTTGAGGGTACTAAATGTTCTCAGACTCCCCAAATACCCAGACATCTCTGTGTGCTCCATTCAACCTCCTATCTATTTCAAGACAAAAGCTGTAATTTGGTGCTCCTACAGTAGAACTTCAAATCCAGCTCAGAGGCAGTTCCCGTAACTGTCTGCTCTGCAGGCTTAGCTCGCCTCTTAAGAATTGATTTATTTGCCTCTTAGCTGCGTTAAGAACCCCATCTTTCCCCCATGTATCTGGCATCGGGAACGTGTTGTGGGTCTGTTTACTTTGGCCACACAGATGACATCAACACTATCTTACTAAAACAGAAAGCCTTTTCAGTTTGACAGAAAATCTTTAAACCTACATGGGTTTTGACAGGTTGACGCAAGTATTCCCATCTTAAAGAAAAAACCCAGGATATTAGATCTCAAGGAATCATGAATTTTGTCTCTGAAGGAAACCAGTCCTGCCGTGTGATACCTGCCAGGCTGATGGATTTTCAAGCGCTGCTCTTCTCTGTTGACAAAGGCCATTGACTTTTTTCTACAGACTGAGGACTTGGCAGGGAAGACAATGAGAGGTGGTTGGCGATTTCCAGCACACAGGGAGGCAGGTGTCCCACTTTTCATCTCTGCTTTCCACTGATTAATTGGTTGGCCTTGAGAAGTTAATTAAAATCTGCCAAATGGGGATAAGAATGAAGAGATTTTACCTTGCAGGAAGGTCAAATGGATTAGCGGAATTAACAGTACCCACAGGAGGAGCTCCTTCAGTTGCCTGGTGATAGGCAGTGTGTGTTGAAATAATTAATTGCTTTGCAAATACCAACCTTTGCAAATCTCCATCTCACATCAACCCAAGAAGGGGCCACGAAGCCCAGTTTTCATGGGCCACAGCCTCAACAGACCCCTGCAGAATTTGGCCATTTGGCTTCACGCAGACTTCTTAGGATGGTTATGGAAGAGCTTTACCCAGGACACCTGTGGAACATAAAGGTGGAGTGAGCATTTACCCGAAGAGATAGCCTGAAATAGAAATGGAAAGATCTTCATTAACTAGGAATTTTTTACCTTAGCGTTCAAGTTGATGATAAATCTAGGAAAAACATGTTAATTAATATTAAGAACAGGCCTAAAGGGTGTGAAATTGACAGTAATATTTTCCAGCTCCCACCTTCTTCCCTCTTTATCTCGCACATCCACTATACATACAGATAATTATGGCAAAAGGTTTTGGGAAGCTAAAGGAAGGCCACATGGTTTAGCAGAAGTTTAAGATTTTGAGTATTGCATACTGGTTAAGGCAAGGCCATAGGCTCAGACTGGCAGAGAATGAGCCCTGGGTGATTCTGGCTGGGCACTAGACTTTGGCATGGGGGTGGGAGGTGTTAGTTATTTAACCTTCTAACTATGATTTATTCCTCCAAGACATGAAGCTATTTAGATACCTACTTCATTAAGTTGATGTGAATGTTTAAAAAGATAAAGTTTCTTAGGTTCTGCAATAAAGCAGAGCTTAAGACAAAGACTTTGGTAGGGCCTGCACTCCCAAGGAACCAGACTGAAAGATGAGGGGGTAAGGCAGGGAGGATTCAGTATGACATCTTCCCCTGAGTTAGCTGCTGCTCACAGTAATTAATTGCTTTATCTTGTTGGGACTGCACTCTCAGAAGCTATATTAGCTGAACTGAGGATGTCTGACCCAGGGGGAAACTTTGTTGCATGGGACATTAACCCCAGCATACTTTGGACTTTCCATGTGTGGTGTGAAGCAGGGTTATGCAGCTTTCTAAGCCTTGGAATCAGCAGGCCAATAATGAAATCTGAGAACTATGTTTTAGGAGCAGGAGATAAGAACTTCAGGGGTTGTGCCAGGCTGAAGCCACTTAGAGTCCAGAGACACTGTGCCTGCAGGAAAGATGGAATCAGAGGAGAGGCCAAGAAGATTTGAAGGGTTTAAGTGCTGGCTTTTTATGGTCTCTAAAGGATTGGATATGGTACCCAGCATAAGGAATAGCTTAGTAGATATTAGCCATTATTACTTGTGTCTATACAAGCAATAGAGGGATGATTGAGTGTAGGCTAAAATAGGTGGGAATTTTAAGAAGAGTCAAGGGAATTTGAGAAAAGACAGCGACTTGATTTTTGAGTTGGCCTAACTCCTTGGAGACTTGCTTCTAATATTATATATACACTAGTCGGTTGTATTCAGAGGTCTCTATAGCAACCATTTTCATCACTTGAAACTAAGTACCTCTGAATAGAAACGTTCATACATGATCGCATGCTCAAAGGAAAAGATATAAGAAGCTTCCCTTATTTTACAAGACATCTGAATTTTCTTGGCAGCCTAATTTTAATCTTAAAAGAGAAAGGCACTTGTGACATGTCTACAATTTGTCAAGTCCTCTATTTTTTACAACATTCCTATACAGTGGGTGTTATCCCCATTTTACTATTGAGGAAAGTGCAGTGTGGAAAGGATTAAATAATTTGCTCAATGTCATAGAGCTAGTAAGTGGTAAAACTGGGATTCCTAGGGATGTTAGATTCCAGAGAACCATGTACTTTCCCTTGGACTCCTTGGGCAAGTTTCACTGCTGAATGTACATTTTGAGGTGTTTTATTATAATGTCTGAAATGAAGAGCTCTCTCAATTAGTGAAGTCTGGTGTCCAGTATAAATAAGAACTAACTTAATAATAAGAAGCAGTCCAAAGTTTAGTTCCAGATAAAAGCTAGACCTTCAAAGAAAAATTAAAATTATATTGATATTCCTTATAATTTGTTGGTGGGGTGATTCATTATAGTAAATGACATTCAGCTCAGTTTCTCCTGGGTGAGCTCAAACCCATGTGACTACAGAAAATTGCTATCCAAGGGTGTGTTCCATAAAGAGAGGGGCTTTTTTAGAAATAGCACCAGTCCATTGGTGGGAATACATAGTATGGTGTCTGTTTGAAGCAGGTATTTTCATATGTATTAAAACATCATAACCACGCTCTATCAAGTAGGCATATTAATGTGTGGTTTTGGTTACAATATGCAGAAGCTGGGCTATTTGGCCAGGGTCAGAAAAGCTCATCAGTGATGGAGTCATTTTTTCAATTCAAGTGCTCTGGCTTCAGGTCCAGTGTTGATTTTTGCTAAGTGGTTGCTGGGGCTGTCCTCCCTAACTTTTGCTATTCCAATTGTGGTCTGAGGCCAGCATGCCTTGTGAATGTCTTTGAAGTGCAGAATCTCAGGCCTCACCCCACACCTACCAAATCAGAATCCTTGGATTATTCAGGTCTACATTAAACTCTAAGAAACTGAGCCCTAAACCTTTTCTCCTGTATAGATTAAAGATATACTGAAGAATCACCTTACCAGGAATCACATTAGATTTTATGTCTATAGCGGGTTCTGTGCTGCAGAGGATAGGTCTAATCTCAATCAATTCTCCCAAGAACTCAAGAAAAAGTTGCCTGTTGGCAATTGCATGGTTGACTTAATTTTCAACAATAGTGGACAGTTGTGCTTTCTGAGAGTCAGCATATCAGAAAACACTTTGCAAAATATAAAATCTTTATTTATTAATTCCAAAAACATTCATAAAGGCTCACCATATGTCAGGCAGTGTGCCCTCTAAGAATTCACAGTCTAAGGGAAAGAGATCAGTAAATAGACCTTTTTAACATAGAAGGTCATACACTGACAGTCAAAAAGCTTGGGATTCTGAAGGAGCACCAAGGGCATGAACCTGTCCAAATGCAATTAGGCACATCATCATTTTCATTCCTAATCTTTTGTTCCATCCCCAACAGGAACAGGACAGGACCAGCTTGCAGGTGCCATCTGGGGTCTTGGATCCCATCTCCAAGTGTGGTGACTTAGATGTCATCTTTGAATATCGAGCTGCGACCCAGAAGCTCACAGTGACCATTGTGAGAGCACAGGGCCTCCCAGATAAGGACAGAAGTGGCGTCAACTCCTGGCAAGTTCATGTAGTGCTGCTGCCCAGTAAGAAACAGAGGGGCAGGACGAGCATACAGAGGGGGCCCCACCCTGTCTTCAAGGAGAAGGTCACCTTTGCCAAGCTAGAGTCCAGAGATGTGGCTTCCTGTGCTGTCCGCTTCCGACTGTACGCTGCCCGTAAGATGACCCGAGAGAGAATGATGGGGGAGAAGCTCTTCTATCTTAGCCACCTACAGCCAGAAGGGGAAATGAAAGTGACTCTGGTTCTGGAGCCAAGAAGCAATATAAGTGTGAGTATGTTAAATGGTGCTGCTAATGATGCGGTGTTCGAAGACCTGGGATTGTCAGTCCTTGATTTAGTACATTCAGCTTGTGAATGCAGAGACCTTAATTTAATTTTCCATTTGGCTCTCTTCATCTTTATAAGCCATGATTTGCACTTCATGGTATTATGGGTCTTTCATGCCTGTCTTCCTGATAACCTGATGGATGTATTCCCCGTTCATTTATGTAAATGACAGCAGCAGTGTGGTAAAGGGCATGGAAAAACCTGGAGAGGTGACTGGGCTTTCTGGTTAGTGGATAAGTGGTCCTAACCCTCCAGTCCCCAGTATGTATTATGGTGAATCTAAGAGATGGGACTTTCAAGGCAAGGTCCTAAACAAGGATGTGGGAGCATTGTAGAATACCAGCCCTGAACCCTAGCTACTTCTTAGACCTTCCATTTATCGGACTGGCCTCCTCCCACATACCTCATTCTGCTTTCTGCCTCAGGGTTTTAAGGGAAGACAACACACACAACATTGTGTGTCTACATGATGGGCAGCCCGCTTTTGCCCTGGGTTGTATGTCATCTAGTGTGAAGATCACCTTTTACAAAATCATGTAAAAATATCAGGTAGCTATGGGCTGTTGGGCCAGTCAGCCACTCATTCAAAGATGTTTCCTGCCAAGTACTGTAGAGACAAAGCAAGGCACACGCACACACAAACTGAGCAGCTAGTGCTCCAGGGTCCAGTGTGGAGAGTGTTTACAGGCAGACCCCTTGTCAGGAGAGAGTGACAGAGGCTGCTGTTTGTTTAGAAGGGTCAGGGGAGGTTTCTTTGAGGTGGTGATAAAGCAGAGCTCCAGCAATTGAGGGAAAAAGACTGGTGGCGTGCAGAGGTGGAGGATTTCAGGCACATGTAGTCTTGGGGAGGTGGAGAGAAGCTTGCTTTGTTGGAGGAAGAACAAAGGAACCAAAAAGGCTCCTTGATCACAGTGAGAAGAGATCTGTCCACTGGAATTTCACATGGTGTCTCCACATGGTCAAACTTGAAATCCTGATTTTTGCCTCCCTAAATCTATTCCACCTGCCATCTTCCATGTCTCAATTAAAAACAATAGAATACTTCCAGTTGCTAGGGCTAAAATCTTTTCTACTTGATATCCTCTGAGCTGTATTTTCAAATGCAACCAGATGCTGGTCCTCTGCTGGACCCTGCTCCTCTGCTGGATTACTGAAATAGCCTCTAGCTGATGCTCTTCTGATACTGCTTTTGCCCCCTATAGACTATTCCTGTCATGGAGGCCAGAAGGATTCTGTTAAAGCAAAACCCAGATCATATGTCACTTCTACTCAAATCCCTCTTTTGTTTGAGCTCTGGTAACATATATCTGAAACCATGGAAATCAGAATCCTCAGGTCAGAAAGGACTCTGGACTATAAAACATAGGTATAATAAGTATGTTCACACCCATGGTTCTCTGTACCAGGTCCTGGGGCTCTGTGCTAGAGGCACAGATTGCATGGGGGAAAGGAGCCAATGTGAAAGATCTCTGAAGGTGAAAATTCTTTCATTGCTCAGCCATTTATGGGACATGATTATGTGCTGTATATTAGGCTATGCATTGTGGACTAAGAGATTTAGAAGCCACGGTTTATGCACTAGGAACTGAGAAAGGGATACAGATTTTGGAATTTGATGGGCAAGGCAAGAAGTGCAGTGACAGGTGCCACAGTAGGAGCTTCTGTAGAAGCACAGGGGTGGGGGTGGCCCTCCCCCAAACAAAGCATATATTTTGTTGCTGGATTTTTATCTTCTAGACAGCAGAGCCTGTGAGGCACCTGTCAAAACCACCTGGCCCTATAATTTACAAATGGTATTCCATGAAAGCTTGGGGCTCTTAGAAATACCCATGTTTTGGGTAAAAAGGATATTTCCCTGCTGATATGCAGAATATTTTATTCCTTTTGTTAGTTTTGCTTATCGGGTTCTTGATAAGAAGTTTTAGGAAATGATTTCAGACAGAAGAGAGTTTTAAGTGAAGTCTAACATGCTTATTTCCAGGGAGGAGGTGTATTAGAGGTGCTGGCCGGCCTGCTGTAGCTGGGCTGATGCCTACACCTGCCCCTCAGTGAGAATCAGCATTCTAATCTACTTTATTGCCCTTCTCCTGATGTCCCTGGTGTATAAATCCGATGATCATAAGAAGCACACATGTGAATAAATGCGCCGGGAAGCTTGGGCTCTCTTCTGGGCTCACCTGGCCCTGTGAGGTCACTGAGATGCATAGTCCAAGTGTTGGCTTCTTTATCAAACAGTTGTGAAAGGGCTCATTTTCTATGTAATTGATTTCCTTAGGAGGTAAAATTGAGCATTTGGTATATACCTAACAACCTTGAAAGTAGGACTAGGGGCCAAATATCCTATGTCGTGGTCAATGTCCAGTGGTCAATTCTTGAATAGCTGAGAGACAAAACTGCCTCTTGTATTGCTACATTCATCAAGAGGGTGCAGAGAACAGAAGCAAATCCCAGGCCTGGAGTGGATGGGTTCCACGGAAACATTCAGGCGCAAATTACACAGGAGGGAATTTTGGTCTATATTAAATGTATTATTAGCTCTCCATGTATCTTAGAAGGTTTGATTTACACTAGTAATAACATCTTTGTCCGTTTTGTCTTTAGAGAGGAAATATTGAATGGAGACAGCTCTTGGAACAAATATGTCAACTAGTAATGAAGAGGATCTCATCCGTGGCTGCACTCCCTGGGCACATTGTAATTCACACTGAGTGCGCCCTTAGTAATCTTTGGCAGTCATTGAGATCGGGTCACAATTTCACCAAACATAATATCGGCTTTCTCTAAAAGAGAGTAGTGCAGTGTGGGCCAATGGATTCTTTGTTGTTCTTCCCCTCCAGAGTGGAGAGTCGCCGCTCAGCCCATCTGCAGTTTCTCACAGTGATAGTGCTTCATCCACGCAGTCGCTGTCTCATGGAGGGGCGCCAGAGCTGTTGGTGGGGCTGTCCTACAGTGCCACAACGGGGCGATTATCTGTGGAAATGATCAAAGGCAGCCATTTCCGAAACCTCGCTGTTAACCGAGCACCTGGTAAGTCCTGTGTCTGATCCCTCCAGCTCTGGTCCTCACGGAAGCAAGTGGAAGGCTACATCTGCTTTCATCTCCATTCTTTAATTTTGGCAGTAAAAATGATCTTGGTATGGCCTCACAAAGCAATACCTCTGGATTTCTGAATGGCTTTCTATTTAATTAGACTGAAGGCTTCTACCATATCTCGATGCAACTTGACACGAAATAGACTGCCTGCGTGTTTATATTGTTGAAGGAGAAGGAATGATAATGATGTCTTTTCAGCAACATCATTGGTATGAGCAATTCAAATCTGCCCACATGTCACAGGCCCTCAACTTTAAAGTGGCAGAGCTCTGATTTTGGAGGGAGGCAAATCTGGCATCGAATTCCAGCTCCACTACTTACCCATTAGCTTAGTTCTGATCTTGTATGATTTACCTCTTTTCTGAACCCGAGTTAATATATCTGGGAAAAAAGGCTAATAATCCCTTCCCCACAGGGTTATTTTTGGGTTTAAATTAACTTCTGTAATTTTAGGGTTTAGCACAGTGCCTAATACTTAGTGAGCACATAAGGAATGTTAATGGTTACGATGATGATGGAAAAAGATGTGGAGGAGGCAGATCTGGGGCAATGCAAGACTATTTACCAGGGAAAATGACCATTTCTGAGGTCATTTAGGAATAAGGATGTAAGACATACTCTATGATTGTAGTCCAGGGTTCAGGAAGCCACATCAAATAGCCACTGCTGCTGTCTCAACAGCCTCTCAACCTGGGAAGTTGTAGACTGAACATAGGAATAAGGCTGTTTAAAAAAAAAAATTAGCTCACCATTTTATGATCTTGCTTGTTAGAAAAGAAAAACAGCATAGACAGTTGGTTTCTGTCTCACTTTTGCCTTCTAAACATCATGCAAAAACATCTCATCAGAGGATCCTAATTGGTATCTAGGATACTAGCTGCAAGAGAGTCTGAGAATGTTGAATTCTAGCATTTCACACATAGGAAGTTAAGCTAGTAGAGGGTAGAGTGGAGGGCAAGAGGCCTGCTGACCCCAGGCACCAAAGTCTTATTGAAAGAAGAATGAGATCAATAGAAATGTGGTATGCTGAAAGAGTCAGTAGGCTCTGGCCTCATGTGCAGCAGCAAAGTGCGTGCATAGAAAAGGGTCATTTCCTATAACTGAATCTGGGCTCCTTCTCCTTTTGCCCTTCACTGTGTTGCAGACCCCAAGACATTTGTTGTATGTGTGTATCTTTGTTAGGCAAGCTGTATTAAAGCCACATTGGAGCAAGTTAGTAAGGAAAGCCCTAGCACTCTGAGTAACAGAAAAGCCCAGGTGCATAACCCATATTCTGTGCTGATGCTCAGAGCCAGGTGAGACCTATTTAGAATGCATAATAGATGCTGATTATTAATTGCACAGCTAGAGTCTCTGCTAGATACAGTTTTGTTTTCCAATACAGCTCTGAATTTACTAAATGATCTGAATATACTACTTCTCCTTCAGAGATTTGGCCAATCTCTTTTCTTGTTCTCCTGAGATCTGGTAAGGTATAAACAATTTTTTTTTTAGGAATGTGATGGAGATGCAGGGAATGATGGAGATGTAGATCACACAGACATAACCTATTCAGATCCATGCTGGGAAGCTTTGTTTTATGTGCTTGGTGGTAGTAGCCAATATAGAGGAGAAGAAATCAGTCAGAGGCTGCCAAACAAAGACGTGAATTCAGGCTCTCCTCCTTACTAGCTGTGATTTACTGAACTCTTCTGAATTTTAAATTCAAAATGGGGAACAGGGGTGTCATAATAATGTATGCTTTATAGGTGGAATAGTACACATAAAGTTGTGGTATTAAGGGTGGTACTATTGTGCACTTCTAAATTTTTATATAAAAGAAACATGCCAAAGAGGAAATTCTTGTAACAAACATTTAAAACCACATAGAAAAAAAAAAGACCAGTCCTAATTTAGAAATTGGTTTAATTACAGAAGTTTAAGTCAGTGTGGCATTTAGTACACGATTTGTCATAGACATAGTGTTGCAATTTATCCTAAAATATAATTGACATACTCTATCTTTGCAACAAAAGTATTAGAAAACAATGCTGTTGTGAGGTTATTAATTAAAACAGAAACCCAGTAGTGAAAACAAAAGGTTTTTTGTCTGTCTAAAATGCTGGTACTTGAGGAAAAGCCAGTTTAATTAGGAGGGGATGAGAAAGTAGAAAGTTCCTTTGTGGAGCTTCTGAAAGGGACCTCTTGGTACTCTCAAGAGCTTTAGATGTTGACAGCTTCGGTTCTTCATTATGTCTCCTTCATTATGGTGCTAGCACTACTGTGACAGTTATCAGATAAGTTTAGGATACATTTTTAGTTCCCATATGGAAGAGAACACAAGTTTTATGAGGTAACTGAGCAGAGTTGGGAGAAAGAGGGGGAGAAGGAAAGTGAGGAGAGCCAGGAGATGAATGGCACTGAGTGGGGCCTAGGGGAGGAAGCATGCCAAGCACCCTGGTCCCCATGTGGGGGCGGGGCAGGCAGCCCTGCCTGAGTCCCCAGGGGCTGCCTGGGAGGGCAGAGGCATGCCCAGGAAACTAACATGAGCAGAAGGCACAAATACTGTGTTTGTGGCTGTCAGCTCAGGTGGTGTTACTTCCCCCATAAAACAGGACATCAGTCCCACTTCCCAGAGTGATTATAGTCATGGAAAGAATGGTGCTTGGGTGAATGGGAGGGAAAATAGGTGGAACTCGACTCTAGAATATTTTTAATGTTTTACATCTTGCTGGAAACAGAGACAAAGGCTCATAATTAAAAGTGAGAATCTTTTGCCTCTGAATATATCATTAAACAAAAGATAGCTTTGAACTTGCCAACTGGACCCAGTCAGATGACTGTTTTGATATTTTAAACTTTTCTTCCTAAGCAAGATAGAGGAGTCAGACAAATAATAGATGAAATTCTTGTACTCGATTAGGGTCTTGGCACAAATAAGCTGTGGAAATAGTACTATATCCTCTGCCAACTTCTGAGGTGAGAACCTTGTGGAAGGTGAGACCCAGTGAGGTTGGCTTCACACTGATAGTAGGAGATTGTGGGAGCAATAAAAGGGATGAGAGTTCCCACCAGCACTAGTCAGACCAATCAGAGTCTCTACTACCCTCAATGAATGGCTGAAACTAAAAAGGCTGATGAGGATGTGGAGAATGCGTTGGTGGTGGAAGTGAAAAATAGAACAACCACTCTGGGAAAAGACCTGAAAATTTCTTATACCAGAAGTTCCACTCTTAGGCATTAACCCATAATTCAAAAAACAAACAAACAAACAAAAACACACAAGAATGTTCATAGCAGCTTTATTCATGATGGCAAAAGTGAAAGAGAGTCCTCATGTCCATCCATAGGAGATTGACTGAGTAAACAAATTAAGATATATTTGTGTGATGGAATACTAATTAGCAATACAAAGAAAGAAAATTAAAGCAACATGGAAAAATCACAAAAACTTACTGAATACCTAATGCATGAATCATTTGGTATGAAGTTCTATAACAGGCAGAACTAACCTATAGTAGGAAGAAAAACAGAGGAATGTTCTGGGGTGAAAGGAATGTTGCATAGTTTGGCAAGGGGTCTGAATAGAGGCATATATCTATCACTACTCATTGAATGGTACTCAGCTTTGTCAATTTTATTGTTTCTAAAATTTACCTTCAAAAAGAACCATAGAGAGATTCTAGATGGCCAGTGAGAGGAAGGGTACATTCATAGTTGCTCTCTGGCTTGGGATTCAAGCAACAGGAGTACTGCTTCTCAACAAGGTGGGTGAAAGAAGGTTTGACTAAAATTCAATATTGGACAATCAGAATATCTTAGAGACTCAGAAATTTGGGCACAGTATACAGAGAAGAAAGAGAATATTGGAAGCCAAGCCAGTTGTGGTAGTGGTAGCAATACTGGTTTTTCAGAAAGGGAGGGATAACAGAGAGAGAAACACAATGGATGAATTTCACGTGGAAAAACCTGAAATCAGAAAAACAATCTAAACTTGGCTGATCCGGAGCCTGAACTATAAAGTGGGTGCTTGAATAGTGCTGTTTCTTAACTGGCTGCAAAGACCTTAAGGGGGAGCTATTTTGAGGCACCTATGCCACAGCTGCAGAGCTGGGAGATCATAGCAATTGCTGTACTCTCCAGGCAGGCCACCTATTGAATAGTCTAGGATTTGGCCAGCAGAACGTGAGTGAAAGTGAAAGAGGCACAGGAATTGTTCCCAGAATGAGTCAAATCAGAAAAGTGATGGGGATCTCAACTACTTTTCCTTTGAGTCTGGCAACTTATGTGATGAGCTGAAGTGGGTCAGGAATCTGGATAGGAGGATGTGAATACTCTCAGGGACAAAGTCTGGGAAGGCTGTGTATTTGGGTAGAAGAGTATGTGAATAATGGAGTCCCCTACCCCATAAGTAGAAGTTTTAGGAGGCTCCTGATATCTAGAACCCCCCCCCCCAATAGATTGGCAAATGCCAGGCCCAAGGGGTGTGTTTATCTAGTCTTGCCAGAGTAGATACCACCCAACAAAGCCTCTAAGGCCTGATTAGACCAAAGCCCCAGCCAACAGAACTCTTCCTATAGAACTCTGCAGCACCCCCAACCTGAGAGTTGCGTTGATCTGGTCTGTGAAGACAATACTCCGATTGACAATACTTCCCATTCCTTCATACCTCACACTGGTGAGAAGGAAGCTGAGAACTCTTTCAGCCAGCTTCAGTCTTGGGCCACTCCAACTGGCAGCTCAGTGAGCAACACAAAAAGAGGCAAGGGTTTACAATCCCTAGCCCTTGCTTTCTCAGAAGAAATGGAAAGAACAACAGTTGGGCATAGAATGACCATCATTCTTTTCAACTATTTTGACCACCTCCATGGAGATGATTCCCTCATTTTTCATTAAGCATTATTTTTAATTTCTGTGTTCTTGTTGTGGTGCTTGGTTCATGGACATATGTACTT